CTAACTCCTACTAACTCACCACCGCTCCTACTAACTCCTACTAACTCACCACTGCTCCTACTAACTCCTACTAACTCACCACTGCTCCTACTAACTCCTACTAACTCACCACTGCTCCTACTAACTCCTACTAACTCATCACTGCCTCCTACTAACTCCTACTAACTCACCACCGCTCCTACTGCTCTCTGAGAAGACAGCAGTCGACCCTCGATTTGAGAATAAACTCGAGATCTGGAGACGTCAGGTCTGGGATTCCAGCATCACGGAGTACACCACTGACAGTTCTCGGCAGGGCCTGAGCACCACCTCCTGGCCCTGGGGCACATCCAGCCCACTGCCCAGCAGATGGCCAGGCAACGTGGGACTGGAAAGGCTACATTCCCTGTGCTAGCTGATGAAAGCTCAGCTGAACTACGAGAGCTCTATTTCTGACTTTAACCAACGTGAGGGACAGTCAAGGAGATGAACTAGACCCCAAGCCAGCGGGGACTACTGTGTGCCCATCGCTGTAATCAGCTGTGAGTCTCAGTCTTGGAGTGAGATGTCAGACAGCCACCAGGAAGAGGGAAATGCTCACCACAGCAAGGCTGCTGGGTCCTGCCCCCGAGTCCGAGGGCGGTGATCCTGGCCAAGGCGCGCGGCCCCTCATGGATGCTGAGGCCCTTCTTGCGGCACGGCCTCTGCCTCTGAGGAACAGAGCAGGATTCATCGGATGAGCTTAGGTCTTCGTATTTTTCTGTGGGTCAGACATCAAAATTAAAGCAATTTGCTCAATGATGGACTAATTCACTAATCCTTCAAGTAAACTAGAAGAAATAAAGAGTAACTGGTTTTCTCAAATTAAGAATAAGAGGCGTGTGCCCCCAAGGACTTGACTTGTAAGAAATGCCACAATGGGCCAGAGCACTGCTCAAACGGGACACAGGGACATCAGGAGAGGTGGCGACTTGCTAAGCATGAGGCTGAACTGAAACAGTTCACTATGATGGGATACAAGTCTACTTTCCCCATCTTCTCTTTGTGTTTTCCAAATTTGTTCTAAGATGCATGCATTACGTTTACAATCTGAAATAAATTATATTCTAAGTTTAAATGAAAAGTAAGATCTATCACTTAATGAAAACACAGACATAGGAGTCACAACCTCTTAAGCGATTTTATAATTTTCAGTCTTAACAGCTTCTTGGGACATGAATGCTGTATGTTTGCTATGGAAAGTTTTATAAAGTATTTCAGATTCCCGCCTCACCCGAGCTGAAAGAGCTCAACACATCTGTAGCCTTTACCATGTGGTAGCTTCTTACGGTTTTCCATATTTGATCATACACCTATCGGACTCTACTCTTAAGAGACAAGGCATTTAAGTGAGGAACTGATACGCCCTCGTCTTGGAGTTGCAGATATGTGGGAGCGGTCCCTCATGTGACCATCTCATGTCATATGAGCTGGTGTTCACTACAAAACACTCCTGACATCAGACAGGGACATGGGGCTCTCGAGTGGACTATGGTCTCCTTTCCCCATTACACATACGGCTGGACACTCAAGGATTGACGCCGGCACAAGGAGACTGTGGTCCCATCCAAGTAGGTGATGAAGGAAGTTATAAAAAGAACAAATGGACCAAAGTGGAATTCTGGGAAAATGGCAGCATAAACAGACCTTCATTCCGACCCTCCCCAACAAATACAAGAAAGACAAGGAAACGGTGCTCAGCTCTGAGGGTCTCTGAATTGTGAAGCAGAGAAGCAGCAGGGAAGTGCAGACAGGTAAGAATCAGTGACTCAACAATGAGCTGCATGGTAGGAAAATCACTTCTCCCACCGTCCCTCCCCATCCCCCAGCCACACGAGCCACTGGCTGTGGTGAACTGGGGAAGTGGCCCCAGAGAAGAAGCCTCTTCCTGAACCACCACAGCCCCTGACTGTACAGAGAGACAGGACCCCAAGCTTCTGCCCTAAAATCAACAAGGCAGACCTCCCCAGGGGTTCGCTTGGAGTGTGCCAGCATCTTCCCCACCTGAACACTGTTAACTGCAAGCGTACTGCAAACTGCTTCAGAAGGTCCATGCAGTGGAGTCTGCTCTCACAGTCAACAATCTACCTGCCTGCAGAGCCCAGGCCTCTGAATCAGAGTCAGGGCAGATCTGTCTGCTCCCCCTTCCAGTTGGTGCTGAGGACTGCTTACTGAGGCTACTGTGTGCTAGGAAGCAGGCGTCTTTAGTAGAGGCTCCATCCACAGCTGATATACTACGGGGCGGGCTCTGACAGCAACAAGGCAGACGTCCCTGGGGGTCCATCTGGAGGGTGACAACCCCTCCTTCAACTGTCAGCTGCTGGACTGATAGAAACTTCTACAGAAGATTCCCTACAGTGGAGTCAGAGGTGGGTCACCTAAGTGGAGGCTGCTCCCCCAGACACCACAGGGCCACTGGAGCTCTCAAACCAATAAAGAAAGATCTTTTGGAGGTCCTTCTGGGAAGTACCAGCCCCTCCTCCTCCTGAAACAGAGGAAAGTCTGCCTGTGCTTCCCTTGAATGCTAGCTCAGAGATAAACAGTCTCCACAGAGCAGGGAAGGAAGCCTTGGGCAAAACCAAAGGGCAACACCTAGCCCCGAAGGGGGCTCTCTGGGTGCAAGTTTTCCAACTAAAAACATGGTTGCAGAAACAGAGAAAGGAAGAGTAATAACCAGAGAGAGAGGACTGCGCCCCCCGGCGGACAGATTGATGAGTTAGTACACGATATCTCACCTGAGTGGCGGTACCCGCTGGTGGACAGACTGACCACAACGTGTTCTGTGGTGTGTTTGGGAGAGACTGAAAGTTGAAAACCAAGACCTGGAACTTTTGAATCCTAATTAAACCATGGAAGAAGAAGGAACTATCAGAGGAGGAGAGGAAACCACAAAGGCCGAAGTCTCTGTCCACCTAAGAGTTTTCTGCAGAAAGTAGTGTGGCAAAAACACCAAATACTGGGGAAAACAGAAAGATAACACTCTAGAAAATTCTAACGCCCCAACAAAAAAATCACAAGACACACGGAGAACAGAGAAACAACGGCCCATCCAAATAAATGAACATAACAAAGAGAGTGAAAGTGCATCTAGGGATGACCAAATAATGAAAAAAACACAAGAATATAATACAACAACATTAAACATAATTAAAGAACTAAGGGAAAACACAGACAAAGAGCTAAAAGAAATAAGGAAAACAACACAAGAACAAAATAAGGATCTAAAAAAAGAGATATTGCAACTGAAAGGGACAATAACTGAAATGAAACATGAAATAGAAGGACTTACCAACAGATTTAATCATGCAGAAGAAAGAATCAGCAAATTAGAGAACAAGATAGTTAAAATTACAAACAATGAAGAGTAACAAGAACAGAAACTCAAGAAGGCTGAGCACAGTTTAATGGAATTATGGGACAACAATAAGAAATTTAATATACTAATCATGGGAATTCCAGAAGGAGATGAGAGAAGTGGACAGAAAGAATACTTGAAGAAATAATGACAGAAAACTTCCCCAATCTAATGAAGGACATGAATCTACAAACCCAAGAAGCTCAAAGAACCCCAAGCAGGATAAACCCAAAAAGATCTACACCAAGACATATTACAGTTAGGCTCTCAAAAAGTAAAGATAAAGAGAGAATCCTGAAAGTAGGGAGAGAGAAGTAGTCACATACAAAGGATCCCCAATAAGATAAAGGGCCAATTTCAGAAACATTGGAGGTCAGACAGCAATGGAATGATATATTTAAAGTTCTGAAAGGAGGGAAGAAAAAAAAAAAAAAACTGTCAAAAATATTATACCCAGCAAAACTATCCTTCAAGAATGAGGGTGAAATTAAAACATTCCAAGAAAAACAAACAGAAGCGGAGAGAGTTCACATCCACCAGACAGGCCCTACAAAAAATACTAATGATTTTGTAGATGGAAGGGAAAAGACACTAAAAAGTAATTCAAAGCTATACATAAAAAGAAAGATCCCTAATAAAAAGGAAATGCAGGGACAAGGGACAAGTACAAAGCCTAGTAATAAGGTATTCATGCTTGATAATTCTAAATGTTTTGTCCTCCATGTTTTCTAATAACAAATACATAAAAAGCAAGGATAAAATTATGTTACAGAGCATGGGAAATATGAAGATATAATCAGTGATAACAACAAAAGGTGGGGGAGAGGAATGGCATAGATACAGAATTTTTTGTATGTTATGGAAGTTAAGTTGGTACCAACTCACCCTAGAATGTTATAAACACAAGCTGTGACTGTAATATTCATGGTAACCACTAAGAAAATATATTAAAAAAGACAAACACAAAAGGAAAAGAGAAACTATAGGATATGCAAAGAAAAGAGAAACACGCTACTAATAGGGGACTTTGTCAAAAAAGAAGTAAGGATGCAGAAGTCCTAAACGACATAAGGTAGATTTTTAGAAACACACTGGATTTTATACCCAGATAATGGAGAATTCCACTTCTCAACCACACATGGAACATTTACAAAAGCTGATCATTAAGTCACAAATAAGAGATCATTAAGTTCCATAAAGGATTACAAACACTCTCTGATCAAAATGCAATCAAATTAGGAATTAATCACAAAATCTAAAAGGCCTGTTCACCTAGAAATAAAAACAAAACAATAATAACAAAAACAAAACCAACGTCTATTAAACAACTCTTGGGCAAATGAAGAAATATGAACCAAATTTACAGAATTTTTTAAAAATAATGAAGGCACATATTAGAAGCTCTGGGATACATTTAATGTATGATTAGAGGAAATTCCATACCTTAAACATTTATATCAACGAAAGGAAAGAATGAACTAGAAGAATGTAATCAATGTCACTGAATTGTACATGCAGAAACTGTTGAATTGATGTTATGTTTTGCTGTGTATATTCTCAACAACATCAAAATAAACAAATTTTTCTTAAAAAAAGGAAACAATGAAAATAAATGAATTGTCAACTCAAAAGTTAGAGAAAAAACAAGAAGGTAAAGCTCCCCAGCACCCTCCAAAAAAAGACACAAACAGAAATTAAGGAGGTAGAGAACTAAAAACCAGTAGAGTAATAATTAATATACCAAAATCCTGGTTTCTTTTTAGACAAACCAACATAAGATGTAGTTTTTTTAACTAGACAAACCAACATAAGATGTAGTTCATTAATAAACTTACCACAATCTCAATAAAAATGTCAACACTTTGCTTTTAAGGAGCTAGATAAGTTGATACTCAAGTTCACAGAGAAAAATAAATAGCTAGGAAAACACTGAAAAAAGAAAAGCTGTGAGGGGGACTAGCCCTTCTAGATATTAAAATAGACTAAATAAACCCTGCATAATTAAAATGGTGTTTGTCTGGTGCGTGAACAGACCAGTGGAACAGAACAGAAGGTCGAGACAGACCCAGTACAAATGGGAATTCAGTGTTAGATAAAGACGGACTTGAAATGACACCAGGATAACTGGGTAGCCATTTGGAGAAAGGTAAAATTGGATCCATACCTCACACCACACGAGAATAAAGTCCCAGTGGATCAGAGATCTAAATGTAAAAATGAAACCAAGGACTAGCAGAAAACGGGTAAATTCTTACACACTCAGGGTATAGGGAAAGGTTTCCTGTGACTCAAAATCCAGAGGCAATAAAGGACTGATAAATTGGACTATAAAAAATTAACACATTTGACAGGGCCACAAACACCACAGCATAGACAGAAGACAACACACCCAGAAGGGAACACTGGAACCTGGGTCCCTCCGTCCCCTCCTGTGGGCTCCACACAGCCTGGCACCCTGCAGGCCGTCACAGCCCAGCAGCTCCACTGGCACCGTGTGCTGTGGGCCATCAGGCCTCAGCCTTGATGCTCAGTGGAATCAGCCGCAGCCACACCTCAGAGCAGCAGGAGGGTGGGGGTCTTATTTCCCTCACAGGTGCCCAGAATGCCCAGGGCAACCTGGACTTCCTCAGACAGGTACCTGGGCTCCGATAGAGGCTCGTGGGCAAAGCTGGCGCGTGCGTGTCTATCAGCCCCACAATCTTCATGTGTCCGTACTGCTTGGCCAGCATCCGGGCCGTGGCGCCATCGTGGTCTCGTGTGTCCACTTTGACTCCCTGTGAAAGCCGTGAGAGAAGAAGAATTGGGCACCTACCCTTCGAAGCACCCTCACTTCCCGGGCTGCTGGCCCCAGATGAGGAGAGGAAGTAAGAGGCTTCTGAACCCCACACCGGGAAAGCTCTGCTCCAGGGGGCCTCCAGACACTGGGGCTGGGTGAGAAAGGGGTGGAGGTTTGTCTGGTGGGGCTGGGGAGGGGCTGGTGGCCATGTAAGAAAGAGCAACAATTAAGCCGTGGCACAGCCGCCACCTCTGGGCTTCCAGGCACTGCCAGGCAGTTGTTCGGTCTGACTGAAGCCCATAATCCAGGTGGACTGGATCCAGGTGGGGAGGGTGAAATTGGAGGGTCCCAGCCTGCACCCCTTTCTCTCTGTGCTTGTCCTACTCTCTCCACACAGGGAAAACCAAGGCAACAGGCTCGCTAGCAAAACACCCTTAAAACCAGGATAGCAGCACCCTTCCGAAACAGTATTGGTAGCTTACATACAAGGCTCCGAAAAGTACTTAAGAGTCTCCAGCACAATTTTCCACATCTGCAACTCTATCCTAAGGAAGTGACCCTCCATACGGGGAAAGCTTTTACGCACAAAGATGTTCAGCACAACATTAGTACAATACGAAGACCGGGAGACAACAGCCGGTGCTCACGGGGAAGGGAAAGCCAGCTACGCTGCCGCCTCTTGGCAGAACACGCTGCAGCCACAAATGCTGATATTTACAAATAGCTGGTATCAACTTTTAAAAAAAGGTGATACAAAATGTACCTACATTACAATCACAGCCACATTAAAACAAAAAAAAGTGTACAGAAAACAATACAGGAAGGAAATATGCCCAAAATGTTACTATTTTCACACAGTGAGATGATGGTTTTTCTTTCTGATCCACGTTTACTTTTCAAATCGGAAGAACCCAATACGCTTTATATGTGAAAAGCTACACGCCTGCGCTCTCACACCTGGCGGTGGGAGGCTAACGTGCACACGCCCTGGAGGGCAAACAGCACAGGGAATTGTTGTGTGCTGTCCAGTCAATTCCGACTCAGAGCCACCCCTGAAGGACAGAGTAGACCTGCCCCAGAGGGTTTCCAAGGCTGAAATCTTGATGGAAGCAGACTGCCATGTCTTTCTCCCTTGGAGCAGCTGGTGGGTTCGAACCACCAACCTTTCAGTTAGCAGCTGAGCCCTTAAGCACTGGGCCACCAGGGCTCATTTTACAGGGAATTTAGAACATGACAAATGCATGTGCCTTCCCACCCAGCACTGACTGCCCTTCTAGGAACTTACTAAGGAAATAATTATGGACAGAAGGCAGAGTTTAGGATCTGCACAGAGGATTTAGCAGAGTGGAAACTGGAAACGTCCGCAGGAAGGGCGTGGTGAGGTAAGTGAGCTCAGCCAGAATGAACACCACCACCTCTACTGCTCAAAGCCCACGCCAGCAATTCCCAACTCTCTCCTTGCGAAAAAGGCCCAAAGGCCCCAGATCCCCCTCTCCCACTTGGGCTGCTGTGGAAGGAAAATGGGGCCCAGAACGCAGCCATAGCCCTTCCCTCCCCAGCAGAGCGTGGATGTCTGCTTGTCCAGCTCCTGCTCCCCACACATGGAGGGCAGAGCAGGGTCCCAGAGGCGTGGCTGGGCCCACCCCTGGCTCCCTGGGGTCCACTGGTACCTGGTCAGGAGGCAATCGGCTCGGTATAAGTGCTTCCCCAAAGTCACCCACCAGGCAGTCTGGCCAGCAGGCAGTCCCACCGGCAGGCAGTCCCCTGGAACAGGCCAGCACAGCCGTTCCTTGTTCGTGCTAATTTCCTGATTTTCATAGTTGTGTGTGACTGGGAAAGAGGCAGGGTATTGTTATTTTTAGGAAAGACACATTAAAGTATTTAGGGGTAAGGTGGCATTCCGTCTGCAAATGACTCTCAAAAAATAATATGTGTGCATATTGTATATATCGAGTGACTGACAAAACGAGGGGAGATGTTAACATTTGAGAAGTCTGGGTGAAGGTATGTAAATTCTTTGTGCTATTTTGCAATTTTTCTTTAAGTCTGAAATTATTTAAAAATTAAAAAAAGCTTTCCCAAACGAATGCAGCTTAGTGCTTCCCTTACACCCACTGCCTGCCCACAGTCTCAGCTCGGCTGGGGCGAGGAGCACCTGGCGGGCGGTGTTCGCAAGGACGGTAAACAGTCTCGTCTCTGATTTTTCCATGTGTTTTCCCTTTAAAGAACCCTAAGATCGACCTGCTTGGACGCGCTCCATCCTACCTAACTGAGGCTCTGCTTTCGACAGTTCTGGGCAACTGCCTGCCTTTTCTTGACCCTACAGTATGTCTATGGATGCCTAGTATTCCTGAGTGGAATTCCTTTCAGGGACTGATTATTTGCAGGAAAGGAAACCCAAATGGGCAATAAGTACGTGCAAAGATGCTCAGCCTCACTGGGAGTCAGGGAAAGCTGAAAACCAACAGGCAGCTCATAGCACCCAGCAAACGGAGGGAAGAAAACAACTTTTTAAGTCATGTATCAAGAGTTAATGAGGATGTGAGACACAAGAACTTTAAAATACCATCAGGAAAATCTACACGGGATCAAACTGACAACAGCAACTGGGAAGATCAGACAGGAACCTCAGGGGGCAGTGAGTTCATGTTAATGGGGGAGGAACAACTCAGAAAAGGAGGGTGAGAATGGCTGCACAAGTGGAAGAACATCATCGATGTCACTGAATTATACACGTAGAAACGGTTGAATTGTTGTATGTTTTTGCTGTGTATATCTCAACAACAACAACAAATAAAATATTTTAAAAAATACTATCAGGAAGAGTGCAAACTGGTACATCCACCGAGGAGGGCAATTCGACACTAGCTAGTCCAGATAAAGATGCACCGCACACACCACAAATTCCACCCGGAAGGACACACCCTGGACTCCGGAAAAATTCCCGCACCGGTGCTAGAAGGCCTACAGACGCCTAACTGCAGCACTGTTAGTAAGAGCAAAACGGAACACAAACGTCCACGAATAACGGAATAGAGAAGTGGAATGTACTCATGGAGCCCTGGTGGGGCAGTGGTTAAGAGCTTGGCTGCTAACCAAAAGGTCACCAGCGGCTCCTTGGAAACCCTATGGGGCAGTTCTACTCTGTCCTGTACGGTCGCTATGAGTCGGAATCAACTCGACAGCAACGGGCGTAGCAGTAGGAATGTATTCGCACACTCCATGAGTACGGAGCTGTTAAAATGAGAGAGCAACATCCACAAGTATCAACACTTCGCTGAATGACACATACAAGCTGATACACTACTTATATAAATCTTTAAAATATACAAAACAATTCAATACATTACTTAGGGATACAGAGTACATGAAAAAGTACAGACTCATGGGCAGGAAAGGTACCCTCCAATATGTCAGGAGAAGGAGAGGGTAGATGGGGCTAGAAAGGGGGATAAAGGAGACTTCAATTCTGTATAAAATGTCCCAAAGCGATAAGAGCTGAGGCAAATAAGGCAAGGCGTCACCATCTGTCCAATATGGGTGTTGAGTCATGTGGGCTAGCTGTATTATTCTCTACACTTTTTTGGTGTGTTTCAAGTACTTCATACCAAAGTTTATCAGGGCGAGTGGGAGGCGGAAGGGGAGGTATTGCTTAAGGGGCACTGAGTTTCCGTTTGGGGTGATGAAAAAATTTGAAACAGACAGTGGTGACAGGTGTACAACATCGTTAATGTAATTAATGTCACCGAACTGTACATTTAAAAAATGCTGAAATGGCAACAAATGTTTTATATTATTTTACCACAATCAAGTACTTCATAACTTAAAAATGATCACTCTTAGTGCTGTGGGGAGTGTACTGCGGTACAGCTTGCTCTTTGGATGGCGATTTGGCAACACCGTCCATATTAAAACCATACTTACTCTTCACCCCAGATTTCTACCTTGAGTGTTATACTGTACAGACACGCACGAGTACGCCACAGGGCACCGTGCACAACAGCAAGTGATTGGCAATGACCTAATTCTATCTCTAAATCACTGATAACCCTTTTGTGGACCAATGATTTTCTGCTTTGAATTCTGTGTTGATACCACGTGTTTTCATTAATGGAAGCTGCTGACTCACTGAGTGTGTCAGAACTTCTGGTACGTAGTTTATCCATTTTGTTTTCCTGCCTCCTCCCACAAGGCTACCCTAAGTGTTTAGTTGTTGTTGTTAGGTGCTGTCGAGCTGGTTCCGACTCCTAGCAACCCTGTGTACGACAGAACGAAACGCTGCCTGGTCCTGCGCCATCCTCACGACCGCTGTTATACACGAGCCCACTGTTGCAGCCACTGCGTCAATCCATCTTCTTGAGGGTCTTCCTCTTTTTCGCTGACCCTCAAACAGTCATAAAGGCCCCAGCCTTGTGGCAGCACACACTGCCAACAGCGCAGCAGCTTCCCAATAAACCTTCCGAGGCAGAAAAAGTACTTGGTCCCTAGAGGTTCCCATGAGCATGAAAGCGTTAGACTCTGATTCACTCCTACAAGAGACTACTATGCAGCCATTAAAAACAAGAAAAGGACAAGAAAGCTACACGTACACTGATACAGAACAATCTCTACAACACACGCTGTGCTCGTTCGCCGCCG